AAATATATAATTTGTACAAAGTGAGCCCATTAATTGGAAAAACCAATCTATATATTTCTGTGTGAGCATACATATGTATGTAAAGCATAGGAAAAGACTCAGAAAGGTGCACATCCAGAAGGTCACTGAACTCCCCTGTGGCTATAGCTATACCTGGGAGGGAGAGTAAGGCAGAGTATGTATAATTAAATTTGGAAAGAGAGAATTTTTGATTTTTCAGTATTGTTTGAACTTTCAACAGGAAAATGTTTTTATATGTGATTTTGTTAATGTATGATTTAAAAATATGAACTAGTTTTCCATTGGTGGAGACCTGAAGATGGCTATTTCACCCCCAGGGAGAAATAAATCTGAGCAAAGGCACCAGGAGAATGGAGTGGTTTGTTAGTAGGCAGCTTTTACACGGTGGTAACAGGAGAGATGGTCTCCTGTGGTTTATATGGTCCCAAATTGTTGGTTGCAGTTCAGTTAATGACATGTTTCAATAGGTTTGTAAGTGAGTTAGGCAGATACATCTGTGGAAGCCAAATGGTTTGATGGATAGCTCTGTTGGAAGCATAATTGATTTCACACAGACTCGCCAGGGCCGACAGAACCAGATGCTGCACTGTGGTTATTCTTGAGAATTTTACCCCTAAGATTGGGTTTATCAGGCAGAGGAGAGCAGTGACCAGTTCGTATTTTAAAAAGAAGAGGTACCCAGCCTTGCTGCTTGCTTAATATTTTTTACCTGTGCCAGAGTACACATATTTTGATAGAATTGGTGTTGTCTCCATATGAAAAGCAGTACTAACCTCCTACCTACCTGCTTTGGGCACTGTTCTAGGCAGCCTAGATAGACAGTTAAACAGATCAGAGTCCTTTCTCTGATCTAATTTTGTACGAAAAAAAATGTAATGTATAAGAGGCAGGTAGGTGTACATGCTGTGCTGTAGATCTTAGTTTTACATTCTGACATGGTCTATTTTAAAGTGCCTATAATGTAGAGCATATATTACACAAGTGTTTCTTTTCTGATTTGGGAGCACGTTCATTGTGAGAGTAAGCAACATTCTTTCAAATCGAAGGTCTCAAAATTAACTTTCTCAGTAATAATACTTGAGTAAAAAGGAGACTAAGGAAAAGAGGATAACTTGCAAATGCTTGTGAATTGGAATTCTCACTCCAGATGTTTATAGATGTTATACTTTATCTCTTGTGCCTAGTGTTAGGAGTCATTTTGATTTCGGGCCGTTTAGTTGGTCTTTAATTAATGAATGAGACCTTTTATTTTCCAATGACAACTTTATTTTGGGGAAGTGGGCACAAAGTCTTAACAAATGCTGTAGTATGGTTTAGCTATAAAAAATTCAGGGTTGTTTGAAGAAATACACATCTAAATGAAGAAATACTTTTAGTAGGTTTCTTTAAAAAGTTGCAAGTTTTGGTAATGATTCTGTTGCCTTAAACAGCCAGACTGTTTTTTCTTTAGAGCAAAAGAAACAGACAATACTGAAAAGCTCTGATCTGTATTGTTTCAAGTTTTCCTGAAAGTGGTAAACTTTTTTTTTTTTTACCATTCTGTTGCATTTATGTCTGTTTTGATGGGGGAGGAGACAGAGAGTGATAAAGATGGTCAGAAGGACAATGGTTTGAGTTCTGAGAGAGAATTGCCTTTGTTGACTTCTCACTTACTCCTGTTAACTCCCACTATCTGGAAAAATATGTGTACCAGGAATTTCACTCTGTGAAGAAATGAAATTTGTTTGGCACAATTAATTCATTTTAAACCCATGGGGTTTTCAAGATTCTTTAAAATAAGTGTAAGATATTACACTGAAGCATACTTTAACATTTTGATTAAAGTGAAGCATGAAACAATTTAAATATACCCAGTATGTAAACTTTTAAATGTTATCAGAAAGTGCTTTTTCTTGAAAATACTGGAACGTGTTAGATATTATGAACAGGTGCATAATTAATACTTGGTGTTTTCAAACACTTTTTCTCTAAAATAGAATCCACTCAAGAACCAGTTTTATAGCTTCATAAATGCTATAAATGGAGAAAAATGACACTATGCAAAACTAACTAATGACAATGGCTCATGTATTTTAGATACTTGTTATATGTTCTTGGCACTGTCATAAGCTATTTACTTATATGATCTCACTTATTTTTTCACAGCAACCCTATGAGGATAGTATCATTTTTATCCCATTTTTCAGGGAAGAAAATAAAAGATTAGAAAAGTTAATAGTTCTTAAGTAGTGAGACTGGGATTCTTGCTTAGATGGTCTGTTTATAGAATACAATTTTTTAAGTATTGTACTGATTCTAAAGCATTTAATGAATATTGGTCTGAAATCAGTGCAGTGGTATGAAAGCTGTGGCTCTTACGGACCTCTGAGAGCTCATTGTTATGTGTTTAGGAATTTCGTGAGCTGACTTGTAAACTTTGATACTGTTGAATCAATAATCCTTGGAGTCCTAACACCAGAGAATGGGTAAATCAGGGCTTCTTTTTGTGTGTGTGAAATTGGTTCACTAGCACACCGTTAATAACATTGTTCTCTACTAGCACTATTTGTCAAAGTACAGCTTCCAAACCCTCACAGTTTAAATGGATATGGATGGGATAAAGACTTACTTTAATAAATTTTTCCCTCAGTGTCATGTGCATTACTGAGATAAACTGTTATTAGTATACTTAGAACTGAGAACATTAAATTTAAAAGAATTTATCCTAAATTTCATAGTAGAAGAGAGTCCCTTTCCTGGCTTCCAGTATTTTTTCTGAGGGTTTTGGAAAGACAGCCCTTGTCAGGTTGACTGCTGTTGATGGAAATAATAAACAATCTATAATAGGAATAGGAAAGAGTTTATTTGAGCCAAACTGAGGACTGTAGCCTGGGAGACACAGATTCAGGAAGCACTTGAACTGTGTTCTGCTGGACTACGGCATAGGGGAGGCTTATAAAGGCAAGAATCACAAGCTACGTAAGTTGTTTGTCAGTTATAATTGGAGTTGGCAAGACGTAAGGGAACTTGTTAAGTAAGGATCGGTTAGGATCTGAAATGGTTGCATAGTAACCAGGGGAGACCTTGAGACCATAAGGTCACAGGTGGCAGCGGCGGGCAGATACTGTTTTGAGAATGGCTGGTAGTGTCCTTCAGTCTGATACAGCTCAAAAAATTCAAGTTCTCAGGACTGCAGGAAATGTGTCTGAAACCACATCCACAATGTCCACTTGGCTCCATTTTGAATGCCTGAAACACAATTTTATATCTAGTCAGAACAAAGGACAAATATCGAACATGACAGGGGTCCATCCTTCAAGTTTTCAAACGAGAAAGTTTAGCAAATATACAGCAAGTCAGCATGACCTTGGTGTCTGGGAAGGGAACCTCATCTTTGAAGGAGTATTATCATTGGCCTCACAGGAGGCGTGGCATTTATCCCTCTCTTCGAAGTGGACATTCTAAGCAATCTGGTAAATGTGTTGTTTTTTTTTAATGGTTTAATCAGGTGTCCAGTGCATGTTTGATGGCCATAAGGCAGGCATTCTCGTTAGCATAAATTTAAAGCCAAATCACGTATAAGCAAGAATGACTTCCGCGAACTTCAATGTGTGAAAATTTCTTCAGTTACTACAGAATACAAAAGCAGTAGCTGCACCCAGATTTGAAAGATTCCTTTGACTACTAGCTGAAATAGTCTGAGGAGGAATGGAAAGAAGTTGGGCTGGGGGGCACAGAAGACCATGATAAGAGAATTCAGAGAAGGAAAGTTCATTAAAAAGTAAAACAAAGCAAAACAAAACAAACAGTGGGTGCCAGGAAGGTTCGTAGGATGTGCGTAAGCTTAGTGATTATATGCTTCTTTGATCCATAAAATAATTTTGAGTTTAATTTTGAAACCCTGGTTCTTAATCTTTCCTTGAAACTATTAAGCATCATTCTCTGCTAATAAGAATCATTTTCTTGATAGTGGTTCAATTTAATAAATGTTTAAGCACTATGAATTGTAATGTTGATGCATTGCATCAAGTTATCAAATTTATCCCCTAATGTTCTCTTTAGGAAGACATATTCTTGCTTGCATATGGTGTTTAATGTATTCACAACGTTCTTCTGTTATGAAAATGCTCATTTGAACATCTTCACATCCCCAGCTGGATCCTGCTTAGCTGAAGCAAAGCCTACATGAATGATAATGGATGTTCCTGATTGGGATAGTTGTAATAGTCCATTCTTGTCCTGTTTCCTTCACCTCCTTGTTAGTTACTTTTTTGGGATTTTCAGAATTTATGGGTTTATTATTTATTGGAGTAGTTTATAGAAGGAAATAGAAAGGGAAAGGAATGAGTGAGAAAATAAAACAATATGCACACACCAAATAGATGTCAAATGATTACATCCAAAGTTAGATGCCAGATGGGATACAACTTAAATAAAACAAGGTAACTTATTTTTGTGGATAAGGAGAAGCCTGTGTGAATGAATATTTTATACCAATTCAACTTTATATTTATTTGATTTCATTATTAATTTGAGGCGAATAGTTTTCTGTCCTTTTCATTTTTTATTAGCTGACTACTTGATAGATTAGAAATGAATGCTTAGGAGTCAGCAAAACCTGTTGCTTAAGTCGTGGCTTGAAAAATTTAGTAATTGTCACTTTGGAAAAGTAACCTCACTTATGTGTTTTCTTGTCCACACAGCAGTAGTAATAATCCTTGTGACAGACGACCACAGGAGTTACTTACAAAGCTCTGAGTGCAATGCCTAATCAGAATAGGCACTCAATAGATGGAAGGGATAGGTATCCACAGATTAAAAAATGGACTGAATGTGAGAAGTATATAGGCAATGAATTCTGATGATTTGGGAGCTCATGTTGGAGAATTGACAAGTTTTCTTTTTTCTATGAAAGAAACTGAAGTATAATAAAGTAAATTGGGTCTGGATGCTTGGTGATGATGATGGTGGTGATGATGACTTTCCCTCTTTCTGCACAGAATGTTCCCCCAGACCTCTCCATCTGCACCTTTGTGCTGGAACAATCCCTCTCCGTCCGGGCCCTGCAGGAGATGCTGGCTAACACTGTGGAGAAATCAGAAGGGGCAAGTACTTTATTTATGTAGACTTGCAGAATTTTAACAAATTCAGCCACTGTATGAATGATTTCTTTTACAGGTTTTGGAGATTTTCTTTTCATTGAAATAAATCAGTTCCTTTTAATTGTTTTCTTAAGTTTGACTTTTTGCTTTATCCACCAGATCTGTGATGTCTTAAAGAACTTCAAAAAAAAAAATCCATCCTCAGGGTGATCTGTCCTTGAACCTCATGCTTATGTCAGTGATTAAAACAGAATCTTTGTTGAGCATTTGCGTGTTTTCTTACATTTTCAGAGCTGTTGTTTTTACTGTTTCAATTAACTTTATGCATGGCTGTCATTAATCTTTATTTCATTCTCAAATGCCTCTAACCATTTGTCTATGTTCTAAGCTTCTCTATGGCAAGTGAAATTTCATGGCACTCATATATTTTAAGTAACAAAATTATGATGATACAGCTTTAGTCAATTGTAATTTTGCAAACAGCCAATCATTTTCTTCTGAACACTGAAATTCCTACTCTGTCTCCTAATGGAGACATTTTTCTTTGAAAGCTGATTTGGTAATTTAAATTATGTTCTGTTCTATGCTGTGAGTGATTTCTGGGCCACTACCCATTCTTAGCCAGTCCATTAACTTCTAGAATTAGGCAGGAGGATAAATGGTAAAATTTTTGTTTCCTATTTGTCACTATAGTAACTGCATTGTGTGGTTTAATAAACTATACTATTTCCAGGAAGGAAACTGAAAATTTTTATTTGCTGCTGTTGGGCCATATGTTACTGTTATTGTCGTTAATCATTGTTCCAGTTTGGATAAGTAAAAAGATTAAAAATGATATTATATGGTTTAAATGAAAACAAGTGATCATTTCTGATGTAATGTATTTCCATTAGCCTTGTAGTTTTTTAAATTTTAGTGTCACACAGCTTAGGACTTTAATTGGTGTGTGCATTAATTTTAAATTTTAATAGGATACTACTAAATATGGAGGAGAAATTTTAGTGATTTTCATTTGATATTAGACTAACAGGTTATTTTTTAAAAGTTCCAAATATGTTATGTGTATTTTCATTTTTCGAGTTCATTTTTGGCTACAACAATATTTGAAATTACCATGTTAAACTACATAAAGTTTTTTTTAAATCTTTTTTTTAATGCAAAGCTTTTGGAGTAGGCTTAAATTAAAGAGAAATAAAACCTTTCTCAATTCAACTAGTTTTCTTTTTACCTGGAATAACCCTTCCTGATTTTTAAACATCACTGAGGCGTATCAACTTTGAAATTCAAATCTGTCTTTACAAATAAAAATCCTTTTGCTTTTGCATGAGCATCTGGAAGAGTGTATCCTGTCATTTTTCTTAGCTTTGTATATACCGACTTATGACTAAATTGCTATAAATTTAATTTTTATACTGCTAAGCTGCTTTTT